TTTATACTTCATGGACGATCTCTTTGTGATCAACCGCCCTAAAAACTGCTTGATCGTCCTATAACTGCCCACTTTCTTCGTAATGGCCAACTTGTCATGAAAACTGCCTTTTTAACTGCTGCCATTACTCTTCATCGTTCAACCGCCTTCTATTGAATTTCTTGAATCGTGGAACGTGATAGGGCTGCTTTAATAACTGCTTTGATAACTGCACTTCTTGATAACCACGACGCTTTACGTTTGTTAAAACCTTGGGCGACTTGAAGGTTTGGGCGAGAATAGAGTAACAGCTCTGGGCGACTGTATGACACTCCATTCGCTCAGATTCTGGGCGACTTGCAAACTTGGGCGATGGCGTTACCGCGTTCTTGGGCCTCCTTATTCGGGCCTTCATCTTGATTCGTTTGATTGGGCTTCGTTCTTTGGGCTATCTGATTTGGAGATCCTCCAATTGGGCTTCACTTCTTGAACCGCTTGATTTGGGCTGAATTTTTATGTGTCAACAAGTTTATACCATGAAGAGAAACAAAATCAGCCATAAAGCTCTCAATAACCAGAAGAAGAAAATAAAAAAGTATTTTTTTTTTGTTCAAATATATCACTTGATTTATCTCTTGTGGTATTCATGCAATCTTAAGATATCAGTCAATTTGAGTATTAATTTTTATTTGGTTGTCATTTCTTACTTTTTCTTTATATTCTCTTATCTTAATAGAGCAAATGTTGAAGGATGTTGATTTGCCAAGCTTAAAATTAGAAATAAACTTACACTAGAAAATGTAAAATTTACTTAAAATCCAAGAAAAGACAACTTCCTCAAAAACCTCAAAGAAGTTTGGCAAAAAAGAGAAACGTAATTTAAATTCACTTTTCAGCTTATCCATGATGGATAATAATCTCTCGAGTTTGAGAATTTGAGTACAAGAAGAGAAGTTGGAAACTACATAAACTTGAATTCATCAAAACTCGACATCAAGGCATGTTATAATGTCGCTTTCCTTAAAACATTATTTGCCTTATGCAAAAATGCCTGGAAGATACAATGAAGCCTACAGTCTTGTCTGCATGGTGTAAACATAAAGACAACCCGAACACTGAAAAAAGTGAAGAAATTTATACCCAAAAGGTTTATTTGTATCTGATAAAGTATACATAAACAATTATTTGTAGAGAAAAATTGCACAAAATCGAATTTTGAGATGCTAGTGGAAAAAAAGTAAGATAGTAACAATTGCATATCAAATTGACTTTTTCTAAATGAAAATGATGAGATATATTTATAGATTTTCATTCAACTGTTTATGTAGAGTTGCAACTCTTCATCTGTGGCTTTTAAATTTGAGTTTGAATTAATTCAGACTGATTAGAGCCATCAGAAACTGTCCAAACAATCCAAAAAACACACCATGAGTACCTGCACGAGGGAAACTATGCATTGAGCAAAAGTTATGGAGAATGAGAAGGGATATTATTATATTTAATTTCCAATTTTAATGCGTATTTTAGGAAACATAATTAGTGATTTATTCAGAGTATTTTCCTACTTCAATTAGCATTAGTTTAAATCCTACATAAAGGGGCCTATGCTATGTAATTGGGAAAACTTTTGAATAAATGAAATAAATTGATTTCACTCCCCGATTTCTATCTTCCTCTTCCCCTCTTCTTCTCCCTCCTTTCCCCTTCTTCAATAATTCTCATATGATATCCGGCATAAAAATGCTCAATACCTTAGGTCAGCTCGCTCCAGCAAATTCTCTTAATGCGACGCGATGCTATGCCTGTTTCCTTCAAGCAACATACCATCTCCATTTCCAAAATGAACCTATAGACGATGGATCAATCTTAACTACAAAATAATTTCGAAAATGTTCTACAAAATAATAGACGCCAGAAGATGGAAGGGGCAAAAAACTATATGCACACATGTATGGTTTACATCAAACTGGTATTGCTTATGCTAAGAAACACTCTCAACAGATACAAAGCACATACAAAATATCAATCAGCAAACCAAAAATTCCTTTAATCCTTTTAACTTTTTTCTTTTTTCCCCTGGTGAGGGAGATACTTCTGTATAGTGGTTGGAGAAGACAGACAGGTGGCGCAGGGGGAATTTTTTGCTCCGGGAGCCAATGTTTTAAGCCTTTATGTCGTGGAGAGTAGCCAGAGCACAAGCTGAACCTAGTCCAATGCTTCCATTTGCATCACCAAAAATTTCTCTTCAGATGCATCACCTAGATGTAGATCTTATCTTAGTTTCACTGTCAAAAAAAAAAATAAATAATTGAAACTTCAAGTGAGAAAATTTATAAATGTACATATCTCCATTTATGGTACGTATTATTTCTCTGTCTTCAAAATCGAAGATTTTCAAAGTTTACTATTCGTGTTGAAAGTTTGTACGGTTATATGATATGAAACAAAGGGCAATTTTGAAGTAACTTATGAATATTCTATATGCAGCGTAAAATCAAGAGGAAGGAAGGAAGCCTACCACAAATTATTTTACATGACAGCACGTGCTACAGTGAATTCATTGGGTAAGTTGATGGGAATGCTGGTTCTTCTGACTTTTTAATCCTTGACAGTGCTTCGAAAACAATACATATAATCAATGTCGAACCAACAAGAAATCCGTAGCCGATTTTCCAATCTTGTCCCGAACCTGCAATATGTATTCCGAGAACTATATTCACTGCTGCAAAGAAAAGGGTAATCCTGCCAAACCAATTGTGCGACCAGCTCCAGTACTTGCGATATTTGCTGTCCTTACTAGGTCGTGTAAAGAAAGCAGTGACCTGGACGAAAAATGACACACAAAATCATCCCTTTTTACCAGTTTTTGGACACGATGCAGTAAACAAAATAATAGATAACTAGGAACTAAGCTTGAGATCTTTAACTAGGAAAACTTTAGTTTCCTGTAAAGGGATTCTTCTATACTAGATTGAGTGGTTGCAAATAGATTTTGATATGTGATATAACCATATTGAGTAGAACTTACTGTTAAGATCAGCTTATAAGATGAAAAATATGGATAAAAATGAATCTTCTTAGTAGCAAACAGGAAAATGGACTCTACCAGGGATGAAATACATATCAATCCTTATCAAGAGCTTATTCGAGTCTACCAGCCAAATCTAAACATGGCTTGATAAGTTCAATCCAAATAAACTCTATAACATGAGACTTGAAACATGACTCGAAAAAGAGGCTAATGGTGGATATAATACTTGATTAAGTTAATTGATTATGCACGAACCTGAAGAATGGTGAGCGTGAGAATGAAAATTCCAATGCCTTTGTGCGCAGGAATGTAATTGTGCAGCCTGTGGTTGAGTGAAAACCCAACAACCACTGCAGCAATTCCAAATAAAAATCCAATGAACTGAATGACTACATGAAGGTAATACCAAAGGGGATCCTTATGCTTAAGGTATCTTGCAAAAATTGCTCCAAAAGGGAGAAATAGACCCCATGCCAGCATAGCCAATACTCCATGAGTCTTCTTGTTTTTGATAATGCTAGGGGACGAATAGACACTGCTATCAGCATTTCCTGCGATGAAAAGTTTGCCAAAAAAATAAAATAAAAACATTGTCAGATTATATTAGCGGACAAAATATCTTGAAGTTTCAAGTGAAAGGCTGATGAAAATCTTCCTGTCCTGATTGTACAAGAATGCTGAAGCTGAAAATTAATAAGCATGATTTTGCGTCCCAAATGATCCGCTAGTGACTTGTATAGACAACTTAGCCCTGTCTCAACCTTGTGCTATGCTTATAAACTTTTGTGACATTAGTCTAATTAAGTATTATAAAATAGTGATTTACATAACTATTGATTACTTGATTTCACTATGTTGAATTTCTATTTTCTTATTAAGAACAATACGTTCAAATGATTTGATTCTGTTTATAAAAGATATTTCATCACAACCTTGATAACAGTTCTGTTTTCATCCGTTCTTTCTTTTCTCAATCTTTCTTAGTTACATATTTAGTGAAAGAGAGACAAGCCCCTAATGTAAACTGCCATTTTCTTCAATTCATTAGTGAACGGGAAATAAGGTTTTTACTTTATATTCAATTTTTCTGCAAACTTAAAAACTTTTACGAGGAAATAATAGAAACTTAAAGCCATTGACAGTTTTGAAGCTATTGTCTAGAGTTCTTGATTTATCAAATTATCTGTCATGCCATGATAAAGATTAAGCCCCGTTTGGTAGCAATTTTTTACTTCAAAAAAATCAATTTTTTAACCATTATTTTACTATTTCAATCGTTATTTTTTATTTTCTTACTCATAGGTTGGACCCATTTTTTTCTATAATAGTTAAAAAAATCAATTCTCATAATCACTACTGAACAAGCTCTAAATAAACTACACAAAAAAATCCTTTATCTCTTTCACGTTAAGTAATACGTGGAGTCACACCCAATGTAGCAGCGGATTCGCGTCGATTCTCTCTCTCCTTTCTAAATAGATAATTTCTTTAGCAATACACTTTACTTCTCAAAAAATTTCTTGATAATAAGAGCAGAAACTGTTAAAGCATGTGTGATAAGCGCCATTAAACATGGCTAGATAGTATAACAAGCAAGATTTTAGGTTCTTTTTCTGGTTTAATGTGTCCAGTGCCATCCACTCTACACTATCAAACATGCCATCAGGTTTTCATGGATAGACAAGGGAATGAGAAAGAACAAACCTGAGGAGAAATCGAAATTCAGGCTCATCTTGTCATCATGAACAGTAAGCCGGAGATGGTGGGGGTGTTTACTGCTAAAAGCGAGTAAAATCGGCTGTGTTTTGAGAGTTTTGTTGAACTTAAGCTGGAATGCCAAGTACATTGTGGCTTCACGAACCACGACCAATGGTGGAACACTGGTGAGTGGCAAGTGACCTTCGTCTGGTTTGATTTCCGAGGGTTTGAATCCCTTTATATGATACTGTTTTATTCGAGCTCGGCCTTCTATGTTCACCCATCCCACCATGCAACTAGAATTAATCATCCTTCCATCACTGGAAAATCCCATTCCTACCCATCCACTGGTGTATATAGTTGATAACACAATGGTGATCACATTGTCCTTTGATTGGGAGTACTGCAATATAAAACAAGTAGTTTATTTATTATCGGCTTAGCCCTAATCCCAAGGCCGAGATCGATAATGAAGAAACAAAAAAGAAACACCGATATTGAGCCAATAGTGATTCACCATCAACACGAGGACTACGACTACACATTGCTTCATATTAAAGATCAAGGAGTTTTCACAATTAGAAATGAGTATTTTACTTGTTGGACCACACAAAAATGGCTCCTTCAAACTCTATATAGTGTGGGAATCTAGGAGGACCTAGCCTCTGTTTGATCCCAATTTGTTAACTTTTCAACCACACATTTCATCAACTTTTATGAAAATCTACTAAAAATTTGACTTTTTGCCAAATCAAATAGAGGCTAATTTAAAGATAGTATAATTAGGCTCTACAATCTAACAACCTGGACAAAGTGACTCGACTATAATAAAGGTCTCCCTCTTCTTCATAGCCTTGAATCTACAAGTACCGGGCAGTATAACCATTGCAAGCTGTTCAAGTGACAGGTTTACAAGAAATTGTTTGACTTCATGTTTCTATCTAATTCCAACATGCTCGACTTTAAGAATTGAAAACACATTCCCCAATTTGATGTCATTATATATTTTTAGAGTACATAAAACTTGTAATACATTCAAAATTTAGTATTAGAAAATGCAAGATTTACATGAACTTACCCTTAGCAGGTATGAATTCCAAACAGGTTTACAAACCATATTTGGTAGACTGCCATAAGGAAGAGGAAGAAATGAGGTGAGATCCATATTGCAAAGCTCTTTAAAGCCATCCTCATCAAGATTTTGTGCTTGTACAAAAATAATTGACTCAACAAAACAGATCAAAATCACAAAAAATAATTCGAATTTGAACCGGGATGAAGGCCCAAGTCTCGAATTTTCATCCATTGGCAAAATTCAAATTTGGCAATGTGGGAAATGAATGGAAGGATAAAGATAAAGCAAGAATTTTGTAAGGTGCAGTTGGTGAAAGGTTATTGATTAGAAGTGTCTTGAAATGTAAGTTTTTATGGTGGATGATGGCGGAAGAGGGCCGGAGGTGGTGGTGTGATGGGTGGGGTGGGGAACGGTGGTTGAAGGTGGCGGGTGATCATCATTCCCGCCATATACTTCAACCAACGGTAAAAAGGAATGCAGATATTAGTCTCCATCATGACCAACTTTTGATTGAATTTTATTTGCTTAAATATAAAACAATGTTCTCAATAGGTTTTGCGTGAAAATTGGACAAAAAAGGTGAGAATTTTAAGGTCAATAGTCGTTGTTATTAACCTAAGTTGGCCCTTCTGTGTAAACTTATCAACTAATTGCTTACGGGTTCATAATATGTGCAGATCTAATCACGACTATTGATCATTTTTTGTTGCACGAAACGAAATTATGTTTATTGAATTATCAAGTACATCCTTTGGTAGTTAAAGGATCTCGATTAGTCAAGTAGTTAACATTTTGAAAAGAGTAATACTATTCGTAGTGAAAACTGTCAGTAATCGCCCTATGTGACATACACTTGGCAATTTGATATTTGATATATAGATATGGTAGTTATTTTTTGAATTATACATCAAACGAAAAATTGCCAAGTATACGTCACATAAGGCGACTGTTGGTAATCTTCACTGCAAATTGCATTATTCTTTTGAAAATCCTATTTTAAAATATGAAAGAAAAGATCCCTCATTTAAAAGTGTAAGAACATTGACAAGAGAGAAAACTCTGATCCGGTTTATAGGGATCGATTGGCAATCCAATCAGTTTAACATATTAGCTAATACATGAAAAGGCATGTTCAAAAAAGGTAAACACAGTAAAATCATCTGAAAATCCAAGACGACTAAGCATTTGTTTGGGAAAAAATATAAATCATTTATAGATTTGTACTATTCATTCAACGACCACATCGACCTGCAGTTTAGGCTTCTTTATGATTAGGAAGGCGACTAGGAAAAGGGCTAACAACAACCTTTTCAATCAATCTCTAGCCATTCTATGCCGCCATTACCAGCAAGACGCACTAGGTAATTGGGTCATACAAGATGCCTTACGGTGTATATATTCGCAAAAGGCCAGCCAATGTGAATCGAAACTCGATGAGATAAAATTATATATGGCTAACGACAGAGAAGACTTGGAAAATAATCCAAAAACAGATCTCAAGCAGTGTTATCGAATAAAAGAATCAAACCTCTCCTATACCTAAGACAAAAGTGTTGCTATAAAGAAGCAAGGAAAAAAAAAAAAAAACATAATAGTGTGAAAGAGATCTCCACATCTATTTTGACCAGGCCACTGAATCAATCTCAGCTTGAGCAGCTCTGTATAACTCCAGTCTCTTTGCAAGAGAGACGCGTCTCTGCATAATGGCTATATCCTCGTCCAACAGTTTGCCCAACTGATTTGCCTGTGAAGCCACATTAACAGTTTTTTAATAAATGCCACACACATTCTTCTTGTTCCTTGAATATTCCCACTCCATTCACGGGGTGGCCGGAGATATTTTTATAGAAGATGGAATTTTTGCCCAGCTCGTTGAAGAAATGGTCAAGTAAGCAGCGTTTTGCCTCGCGAACTTGACGTACAATAAACAATAGACTTCGAAATGGAGTTCTTCAGACCTCCACATACCATATTAACATAAGACAAGACAGTTGATCCTGTTGAAGAAGCAAGAAGCCCATTGAGGAGGTAATCTTGATGTAAGAATGAACAATAGAGCATGTTTGGTACATTGCGCTACGACAGTATAATAAACAAGATTTTGCTCCTCTTTGAGCCTCATTTTTCAAAATTCATGTTTTTTTTTTCAAACTCATTTTCAACTAACTTATTTTCCCAAAAAAATAATTTTGCACATAAACTTAAAACTTTCGATTACTTTTTAACCACATTTTCTCCGAAAAAGTCAATTTTTACAAAATCTATTCTCAAGGTCTTTAATAGGCGAGTACTATCTAACCCTCCCTACTTAAACATATTATTATAGATCTAAAATCATAAAAATGGAATTGAAAGCGACATACGCACCAATACGTCTGAGATACGAGTCATTGTATCTATCAAACAATGAGTGAGTTGGATTCCCTCCCTTGTCATTAGCTTGAGGAAGTTTTCAGAAGAAATCTACAGTTAAGTAACCGCACTCCATTTCAACTAGCTGTAGAGTTGCTTTCTTGCTTTCATCCCTCATCCTCTCTAAGGATTCAACAGCTGCATGCCCAACCTCCACTCTGAGAGTGGAATACTGCTTCAGCTCCTGCACAGCAATAGACACAAGCCTCCATAAGTGTTCAAAAGTATAACTAAATTTGAAATATTTCATGCAACAAGATAATTTCTCCATTTCCTTGTCATTTTCATGGTATCTTCCCTAATTCCGTTCGAGTTGTTGAGATAACATATAATTGATCTAAATGTAGCCCTCTTGCTTTTAGATCCTGTGGTTCAACATAATATCAAAAACATCGAACAGAGGTCCTAGTTCTAATATCCCTAGTGTTAGACAGAAGGTCAAGTCGAAAGCTAAAGCTAACGTTTACCTTCAATTCTCATTGCCACTCATTTAATGATTGTGCATGAGTTATGCTTTGAAGGGAAAAAATTGAATCCGCCTCCATGTTAGAGGGAGTGGTGAAGATAAGATTTAAATGATATCTATGTGGTCCTCTCTAACAATTTAAACTTTTAGATCAAGTTGTTCAATACAAGTTTTTTCATTTTTATTTTATTATATATATATATTGTGGGGTTGTGTGTGAGGGGGCAGGAGATAAGTGAACATATTAATTTTGATGACAGATGGCAAAATCAAAATGCCTTATTATATATGTAACAACCAACTCCATGGGTATTGTAATTTTGAAGACACCTTACTTTTATCCATATATAGTTAAAATTAAAATGGTGACATAGAATATGAAATAGTCGAACATACCACAGTCTCACTAATTGATTTGTGAACCAGTTCTTTTAGTATTCCATGAACCTGAAATTCTTTGAGTTCTGTCTTATGAAGACTGGGGACAGAATCCTTGGGAAGAAAAGAGATTAAATCTTTCAAAAACGTTTTTCACTTGTCAAGATACTTTCAATTATTTTGATTACCAGAATGCTTGGTACAAGGCTCTCCTTTTTAGGCCTGTTACCCATTCTTGGTTTATCAATTTTAATCAAAATTGTAACCCTCATTTTTCGAGTTGGTTTCAAATTTGGTTTCAATATCATGGACTTGAAGAACAAATTTTGCCCAGTCTAGTTCTTCAAGGATATGAATTTTTCAAAAGAGAATATATATATATATATATATATATTCAGTCTGGCCCGTCAAGGTCATCTCACTTTTTTCAGTCACATGATATATAAGAATACAAACTAGGTCTACTCATCACATTTATCATCATTTTTGCATTATCAACCACGGGATTCCAAAAGCCAATACTATAATTACTTCAGGCACCCAGAAAAAAATTGAAATGAAATACAGAATTATGAACTCTTACTCGATAAGCATAGAAAACCAACTGCAGTGGAAATTTATACTGCATCAACAGATGCCTCAGCAGGACCTTTAATACTAACCAAGGCAGTTTCAATGAGACGACGATAACCTTGTTCAGGTGCTATAAGATGAGGCTAGTATCCATCTGCTTCAGTTATTAATTTTCGAACATTTTCCACCGCGAGATGCTTGTCAAACTGCTACCTTTTCAATGCAGCGGGCAGTTGGTTATCGAAGACATTATATATTTTATCACCACCTGATCGACTGCAATTTTCATAATAAATAATGAAAATCAGGATGGACTGAATCAAAAAATGAAATCATACATTAGAAAGAATGCCAACGAAAATTTTAAATACACACACTCCATCTAGATGTTCTTTGAATATTCCATCAAAGATACGAACAATTTCAATAATCATGTACAATTTTCCCTGCATTGATAATTAAGGGTTAATAAGATCGAAATGCTCCATGCCGTAAAAACACTTAAAAGCAATGTACCATATCCTAAACTTCCCTTCAAACATAAAAGAAAGCGTGCAGATAAAAAAATGGCACCATGAATTATCTAAATTAATTCATTGAAAGATTGTGTAATTTTGGAAAGGAATAAATGGGATGGCATACTTATTCCAGCATCAGTAGCATAGCTCAATGATAGTCTTGTTAATAAGTGACTGCAGTCCTGGAATTCGAGATTTGATAACGGACTCCAAATGCTAGAAAATAAGGCACTAGTTATTAGAAAATTTATACTGATAAAGTTGTCAGCAATATGTAAAACTTATTTAAGAAATGTATGCATTTCACACATTTTTTCTTATAAGGCAATAAAAAAAGACTAAACCATGAAATAAAGATCCAGAAAATGAAAATATAGAAAAAAGTGGATGCATTTTCCTTCTCTGTAAACAATGTGAAAAAAAAATTCAAACAGCAGTGTTTTCCTACATTCAGTATTCTTGGCTGGAAATAGAATGCAAGTGTACCACAAAATGTCAAATTGACATGTTTTCAAAGAAAACATTTTTTGAGAGAAGCCTCTATAAGAAAACTAGAAAATTTTCATTTGGATTTTGTTAGCTTCTTAAATTATTATGGAAAAAAAATTCTGTAAGGCACGATGTTTGCTTACTTTGGACATAACTTTCCCAAGATGCTCGGAACCCATCCTGTGTGCAAGATGTTTATACTCTGGGGTTTGAGCAAAATATTCCCGCTCTCTACGCCTAGCAGCAATCATGTCCACATTTTTGTTAATGTCTGCTTGACAGCGATTAACAACACCTATCCATGGGAACTGCAGCTTATATGCCTTTCCTTTCAAGATCTAATTGTCAGAGAAATACAAGTCAGGAACTGCACCCTTTAGTCCTAAAAATTAAGAAAATTGGTCTATGCATAAAATTTCTACTGAAAAATTACTATATTTTTAAGTTTAGAACTGCTCCTATGTTACAAAGTATTTTAAGAAAGATTTAGCCGAACTAGCAAGCAACTGTTTGTAACAGTATTG